TTCAGCAGTTCAAATAAAATCATCTGGGTGGGTAATTTGTAAGCATTAATGTCTCGGGTTGTGATCGGACACAGCATGCATCTCTGCATGTGGTGTCCGTATGGAATAATTTTTTTCAAAAAAAGACAATAATTAAATATTTTTATATTTTATCAACAGCTTTGAGGTCCATTTGGTAATATTTGTTTGCTTTTGTCTGTAATTAAAATGTTTAATTATATACATTTTAATGTAAATTCAATAAATTTGTGCTATCTTGACTTATATCATATATAATTATATCATATGTAATTACATAAATCTTTAAAAAAAATTTCTCAATTCTAAAGCATTTTTGAATTTTAAAAAAATCAATTTTAAATATATATAAAAAAATGCAAAGATATAGATACCAGATATGTATTCCTGTAAATCTAAAAAATATAAATTGTATTTGGCACATTCAAAATGCAAATTCAGCATAGTGAATGCAAACCCCCTTAATTTATTAGAAATAAGTAGGAAGAAAATTGTTTGAAAAGAGAAATCTTCGATGAATCTATGTAGCCACATAGGGCATAGTGACGAGTTGAGATTAGGTATTGGGTGTTGTGTGAGTTGCGGGTCTCGTAGGTTGTAGTTGGTGATATAATTCATAGCGGAGAGCTGCGATAACATCGGTAGGTTGTAGAGGCAGGAGTCGAGAGTTACACAAGCAGTAAGACACGTAGGTCGTAGTTTGTTACATAGGTCATAGTGGTTAGTTGTGATAACGACCAGATGTGGCCAGAGTCAGTAGCTACACGAGATGTGGGCTACACAAGTTATAGTTGGTCACTAGATTATAATGGTGAGATGTGATGACATCCATAAGTCGCGAGGGCCAGAGTTAAGAGCTACACGTGATGTGGACCATGTAGACTGTAGTTGGTCACATAGGCCGTGGTGGTAAGTAGTGATGTTGTATGTAGGCAGCGGGGGCCGGAGTCGAAACTGCACGAGTTGTGAACCACGTAGGCCGTAGTTGGTTACGTAGGCTATAATAGTGAGCAATGATGATGTTTGTAGGTTGCAGGGGTGAGTTAGGAGCTACAAGGAGGGAGCATTAGGAGTCCGAATAAAGTCACCGCTTTTGGAGTGCATTATTACACCACCTTCGGGAGGTGTCGTTGCATCATATGTGTCGGGTATTGTTAAAATGTCATCAGAATGTTGTTGCATCTTATTTTTGGTGCATTATTATATCATCTTCAAGGGATGTCATTACACCGTATTCGTGGTGCGTTGTTATAGTGTCATAGTGGTGTGTCGTTGCATCGTATCTAGGGTGTGTTCTTACATCATCTTAGAGATGCATTGTTATACCATTGAGAGATGTCGTTGCGCTGTATATGAGGGTGTTGTTTCATTGTCATTGAATTTTTCCATTGCATCATATCAATAGTATTTTGTTACAGCATTTTTGGGGGGCGTCATTACACTATATCTGAGGTGGATTGTCATACCATCATCATGTTATATTGTTGCACTGTATTTGGGGTGAGTTATTACATCGCCTTCAAGTGTCATCATTACACTTTACCCGAGGTGCATTGTTACACCATCTATGGGGTGTTTCACCTTTCCGCAACGTATGTCGAGATTCTGTAGTGCGCATTGTTGCTTCAAAAGAGACTTTGCTGCAAGGAGCAAGTGATAGGTGATGATGGTGGACGGTGGCCGGAGTTAGCCGACGACGACAGCGGTCGCCGAAGTTGGCCAGTGGCGGCGAAAAACGTCAAAAGACTTGAAAAGCTTCTAAAATTAGTTTAATGGTCTGAAAATGGCAACTATAACTTATGTTTGAAATGGGCAACTATAACAAATAAGGAAGGAATCCAAATCACTGTGGTTGGATGGATCAGAGAGATTCCTTCAATCAGACAACATTCAACGAGCATTTAAGTTTCTTAATGATATCAGAATCGAGTAAAGTTAAGCTCCATTGACCTTCAAGTTATGCTTTAAAAGCTTCTAAAAACAGTTTAATAATCTGAAATGGGCTTGATTTGACTTTAAATTTGGTACCGTCGTGTTCCTCTCGTCGAGCTTGTCAGTTTGATCATAAATTCATTGAAATCGGAGTTATTTATTTCCTACTACAAACATTCATTGAGATCTGTGCCATGCCTTTAGATCTGTGCCATGCCGCTTCCCTTTCCATGGTTTTGTTGACTGTGTATCAATCTTATATTAATTTTCAAGCAAATTAAGAATTTTAAAATACATTCTTTAAAAAATAGCATTTTCTTTTTTTTAAGATGATTTTTATTTACAAGCAACGTATTAAAATTTCAATTTTTGGTGGCTGCGAGAATTAAAATTATGATTTTAGTGATAGGTTACAATATGTTTACCAACTAATTAAGTAATTAAGTTATTTTATATCCGCCAAAATAGACAATTGTACATAAAAAACATGTCAGTACAAATCTCAAGGAGATCCAACCGACTTAAAAGTAAAGAATTATAGCTAGGAGGATCCACCGACAGAAGACGAAATGGCTTATTTGACTAGATGCAAGCCCCCCTAAACTATTGCTTGAGGCCGACCATATTCGAGCCACCTAGACCAACGGCCGAATCCGATCAAGCAGACGAATCGACCTGCCTCTCACCACAATCCAATTCAAGGGAAAAGTTCTGCATCACCAACCATATCACGAACGTCCTCCGAGATTGTCAAGGTATGAGCTACATATCATATTATGATGATTCACCGTGTGCTTATAGCCTAGTCTCATCCCGCCGACTGTAGCTCATCGTCCAAGGATCAAAAGTCAATAGCAAGGGTCGGATAGTCGATCGATGAAACAGAGCCGACCGAGTATTTCCTACCGACCAAAAGTTAATCAAAAGTCAACCGACATTATCGACTTAGCATAGCCGACCATGCAATCCTTGTCGAACTAAAGCATACCAAGCTTACCTGACCAAGTCAGAAGGTAGCCGAACCACAAGCTCATACTTGTAACATACTCAAAATACCATGTAATGCCCCCATTAAAATAAAGGAAAGTATGTAATCAGACATATTGTATCCCCACACCTATTAATAGGGGAGTTATTTTATGAAAAATGACTAATTAACATCTCATATCACGCTCTATTCTTTTCGAATTTAACAATAAAATTTAAGGAAAATGTATTATTAAAGTAATTCATTTAAAATTAATTCTTCATATAGTAAAGTATGTGACCCATATAAACGAATGTTTTTGATAAAATAATTATAGAGGACTTATTGGAGTTTCGAAGATGCGAATTTCCCTTCTTATGCCCTTAAATAATTATGGCACCTATTATTATTATTATTATCAATAAGTTAAGAAATTATTGATTATAAATGTTTGGCTCTAACAGTGAAATGTTTGCTTGGAAAACATCACTCTATGATTGGGTGACATTATTCATATAATAATAATAGTAGTAGTAGTAATAATAACAATCACGTGGGTAGGGGCGTAAATGAGCCCAAGCTCGTCTCATGTTCGGTTCGCTTATATTTCGAACTCAAGAAGTGTGTTCGTGTTCGGCTCCCTTTCTTTAGGGG